AGCAATCAAAAAATCCTTTAAGTCCACCAAGCACACTTTGCTACCTGTTTCTGGACGTTTAGTGAAACGCTGTTCAGGGCATAATTGCTGCCACAAGGCAAACAGGACCACATTTGGCTGCCAGTAAATTTTCTTGCTATCAACCCCTGCTGCAAGCAAGTCAAACCACATCTGCTTACGGCTAGTCTTGCTTGGTCCCTTCAGGATGAGATCCTGATCATTTCTTAGGCGTTGGTCTTAGCCACGTTCCGGACCCCTTTTGCTTATTTTTTCTCCTCTGCTTCTCCCAGGCTGGGTATCATAGTTGTTACTTCATGTATAGGATGACCAGTGTATGGGGCATGTATGGCCATCAGTGACCCAAAGGATGCTGATGGGGCATTTTGCAGCACTATGTCTCTTATGCTACCTGTAAAATTTTCATCGTCCAGGCCATGAATGTTCACATTAAACATGGACTGCCACATCCCTAGCTCCCAAATTATTTGAACTAACTCAACATATATTTGCCATTTACTAACAATCTTGGGCAGTTCTCCAGCATTCGCCCACATGGTTCGGGCAGCTGCACTCACCCATTCCATTAAGGAGCGATTACCTGGCCCTTGTGCTTATCTGTGGCTATTCCATAGCCGCTGCCTCAGGGATGGGTGCATGGTGATGGAGGCCAATTTCTTCATCTTCTCATCACAGCATATCACACTATCCACCCCGAGGTCCCATAACCGCAGCAGCCAAGCAGCCAGGGGCTCCCCTGTTTCTGCCAGAACTGTCTCCCTAAATCAACTAATTCAACCTGGGTATGTGGGACATAGGTAGTGGATTCAGTCACCTGTGGACCACCCTCTGGTTGTCCACCTGGTCCTATGGGCTGCTCGTGTTTCAGTTTCTGGTGCACAACAGGTCGTGCCTGGAGATGCAAAGTCTCCTCCATCTCACCACCAGGTATGTCGTTCTTCCAGGTGTGAGAGGCAGGGGTGCCCAGTCGCAGCACGTCATCCTCCAGACAGATTATCTGTGCTTCCAACAGCTCTTTTTTCTTCTTTAAATCTCAATCAGTTTGTATCATAGTGAGCAGTAGCCAGGCTCCAGTCAGCAGAAAAGTGGCCACTGGACACCACATGCTCAAAGATAGCCACATTTCCTCCCCCTCCCAAGGGGCTCTCCGAGGCTGCACTGCTTCATGGAGTGCCTGGTCTATGATGGCTTGTAGTATAGCAAGCAGCAACCAGATCCTGGTCAACAGGAAAGTGGCCAGAGGGCACAACATATTCAAGAGTAGCCACATTTCCTCCCTCTCCAAGGGGCTTTTGGCTCCTGCACCTGCTCAAATACCCTGCTGACTATGCCAATTGTAAGGCCAGGGCTTAAAGACCCCTTGAATCTATTGCACAGATTGAGTTACAAACCCTCTACATGCAGGTCTGTGAGCTAGGTTTTAAAAAAAGGTCCTGGGAGCCATAGGTATAGAAAAATGAATGAGTTTTATTCAGATCTAGGAGCAACTGTCCTAGCGACTTCTCTGAGAGTTCTGTGAGTCACCGTGGATCAGAGCTGTTAGTCTTTTATACTTAAGTCCACAACCCTGGACACCTGGGTGCCCACACACAACTTACATTAAGTAGTAACAAGGAACATCTGAGGATATTTACAGCACCTGCTTGGCAAGATTCTGAACATCCCAGGGGCCCTGACATTTTCCTATTTTTCCCAACAGGAACAGACTTGGGGAATCCAGAGTCTCTGAGGTTGAATAAACAGAGGAGAATCTGCAGTAAACTTTGGCTGCATCTTTAATCAGGTCCATATAACACCCTTTATGAGAAAGAGAGACTGAACAGTCTTCATTCCAGGAAAGTAGAAAGGCCCCAGGAAGTCCCAGAGCTGGTGGTTGGCCTCCAGCTTTGCTTGCTTGGGCGGCACTGTGTGTTCTCCACCAGGAGGTCTCCCAGAGCAGAACCTGCTTGGCAGGTGAATGGAATGTGTCCCTTAGAGAGTCTGTAAAGACTCTTCCAGCATACAAACCTGGGGAGCTCCAGCTGCCAAGAAAGGAAAAGAGCAAATTCAGCAATTAAATCAGGGAGCAGCAGCCCCACCCCTTCATTGAAGGCTTTCAACCGACCCCCACCCCTAATTCTGTCGTTAACAGAGCCAGGTTACAGTGGCCTTGGAGAAGACACAACACAGCTAGCCTCAGAGGCTGCGAGGGGTTAAGAGGCAGACTGCAAGCCCAGAAAGAGAGGCCAGGACCTCTCCAGGCCTCAAAATTTTAAGGGTCTACACACTGTTTCTTGGGAAAGAAAAACAGAATTGGGGGAGAACAAGAACAAGGTCTTGTTCTATATTTCAGTGGCGATTTTCTCAGTATTTAATCACTTTCTCTGGAGGTGCTGCTTGACTTCTCACCAAGATAAAATTGAACAATAAAATAAACCCGCCAGGGGGGAAGACAGTGGTAATAATCCTCTATTTTCCTTCCTCCTCTGCATTGAATCTGGGTTTCACTAAAGCAGAAGAGATTGCCAACTTGGAGAGGCTATCGCCCTAGAGGTTTATGGGTGGGTCCAGCTCATAATGAAAAAAGGAAAAACTACAATTTGTGAGGAAAGTCAGGAAAGTAGAAAGGCTATGCTTGTCTATTTCCTGTGGAGACTGGACTGAGGGCTTCCAAAGCTTCAGGTGGTCTGTAGAAAGGTCTTTCTGGGTCTTTGAGTCCATCATGAGCAATATTTGGTTCTGGGCTGCTTTGCAAGATTTCTTAGAAACTCTTGGATTAAACAGGTTTGCATTTAGGACATTGGGTGCTTGCCAATGGATATCTAAATGCCTTGGGGTTGGTCTGTCTTCATTCCCTGTGTCTGAGTGATCAGCAGACTGGAAGATGAACTC